TTTCAAATTGAAAATAAACGTGGCAACACAACAAAAAAATCTCAATTCGAAAGAAATTATATTGCTAATATTTATCCAAAGATTTTTCAACATTTAACGTAATTTTCATAATTTCCTCGTTTCTTCTCTTCTTTCTTTCATTCCTCGTTATTTTAAATTAAAAATAAACGCTGCAACCTTTTAACACAAAAAAATCTCAATTCGAGATAAATTATTTCCTAAAATTTTCCAAATTTATTACAAAAATTTACTTTTGGGTAATTGTTCATTCTAAAAAAAAAAATTGCATCCTCGATCCAATCGAGTCGAGGTATTCGCGTGTATTCCCTAGTACGAGTTCCCTCCGGCTAACAAAAGATCGGATATTTCATCCAATGTCCATTAAACGGCAGTTATATGATCGTGGAATGGCGGACAGGCCGAAGACGCGTTACGTAAGAAGCTTCCTTTACGATCACGTAACTCTGATCGCATGAGGTTTGACAATTATTCCGTAATATCATTATTCCTGATCCAATGAGCCGCAATTACCGAGCTCTTTAAGAGATTACCATGCGTCGAGATATTTACGATGGCGCTGCATTGGTTTAAACGGGGATCTACGCTCACGTTCCTTATCATTATACGTATACGCCGCGTTTCGAAACGATGTCGATAAGATAATATCAAAACACGCGGTATACTTAAGAAATTTTTATATTCAACCCGAGTGGATCTTGTTATTCCACATATTATTCTGTTTGAACGTACGTATTACCGGGCAAATATTTGAAGCTAATTTTCTCGAAAACAAAGCGAAACACCGTGGAAAAGTTTTACGTTGTGCTACCTAAACAGATATTTCCTTTTACTACGTATATATTATTTCCTCTTTTACGATAAGGTAAATAATTTTACCCCTTTATATATATATATATACGTACTTGCATCAGAATTATTATGATCGTTGTTTTCATATTTAATTTCGATTAAAATTTCGACGATGATGACTAATGGAATTATCCTTCAAAATTTAGTGTCATTCAAAAAAATTCAAAAAAAATTCTCACATTATCCATTGTAATAAAATATTCGTTTCTTATCGATTCTAAAAATCAAAATATTTCTCAAAATCTCCTCATCGTAACATCATAAAATTTTCATCTCTCGTTAATTATTATTCCAAAAATTCCCTCCCCTCGATAATTCATATTAAATTTCCCAAAACCTCTCAACCATCATCGTCCATTACAAAAATTCTTCCAAACGCTTCGCAAATTGATCGCGCTAATTTCGAATTCCAAAATTCACCGATTATTAATTCGCAACAGTTGTCAAGGGAAACGTTTCCAAGGATTTTTCGTGTTTCGTGTCAGAGC